CGGGCTGGGGATTCGAACCCGCCACCTTAGGTGTACGTGGCTGGCGCCTTAGCCGGTTGAGCTATAGGTGCCAAGCCATACAGTATATATTATAATAAAAGTTATATGAGTATGGTCTTTGTCTCTGAAAATATCTTACCAAGCTTGGTAAGTGGCTCAAGTGGCTAAGGCATCAGCCACATACACCTAAGGTGGCGGGTTCGAATCCAGCCTGGGCCCTCCAAAAACAACAATGATGGCTGCAACCAAAAAGTAGCCAGGCGCTGTGGCGGGCGCCTGTGGTCCCAGCTACTTGGGAGGCTGAGGCAGGAGACCCACTTGAGCCCAGGAGTTGGAGGTTGCTGTGAGCTGTGATGCCACGGCCCTCTACCTAGGCAGACAGCTTGAGGCTCTGTCTCAAAAAAAAAAAAAAAATCTTACCAAACTTACCCATTTTGGGACCTTGATTGAAAATCTTTTACTGTACCGTACTTACCTATTTTTGGATCTTGATCAATTGTGGGCAACTGAAAGTGCTGAAAGTGAAACTGCAGATGAGGGAAGATTGCTGTTCTAGTAACTACCCACACTGATTTCATGCTTATTCAGATTTTCAAAAAGTGACATTTCATTTTTAAAAGTTTTGTTCCACCCCTCCCCCCCCCTTTTTTTTTAAAGAGATAGGATCTCATTCTGTCACCCAGCCTGGAATGCAGTGGTATAATCATAGCTCACTGTATCCACTCCTGGGCTCAAGGAATCATCTTGCTGCACCCTCCTGAGTTAGCTAGGACTACACATGTACGCTACCACACTCAGCTAATTTATTTTTTATTTTGGTGTGTGTGGGGGTGTGTCTTGGTAATGTTGCCTAGGCTGGTCTTGAACTTCTGGTTTCTGGTCATCCTCCTGCCTTGGCCATTTAAAGCTCAGGGATTACAGTGTGAGCCACTGTACCTGGACAGATGCTCTCTTTTATAACAGCAATTCAGTAGTCAAATTTTGGTAATTTTGTATTGATACTTTCATTTATATAGTACAGTTTCCAATTTAATAAATTGTCCCAGTAATCTTCTTTAGAGTAGTTTTTCTTCTAGTCCAGGATTGTATATTGTATTTAATTGCCATGTAAATATTTATTTTTAATGGACTATTGGTTTTAAAATCTTAAGTGTCGAACTTTTGTTCTTTTAACAGCTAAACCAGGTGGACAGGTGAAATGTCAGTACATTTCTGCTGTGGATAAAGTTATATTTGTGGATGATTATGCAGTAGGATGTAGGAAGGACCTTAATGGAATCTTGTTGTTAGACACTGCTCTGCAAACTCCAGTTTCAAAGCAGGATGATGTGGTTCAGCTTGAATTACCTGTTACAGAGGTAAGTTGAAATAAGTATCAGTGTGGTCTTATAAATGTAATCTTTGACATTTAAATGTTAAATGAAATCAAGCAGCCCTTTAAGGACATTATATAAGTACCCTATAAAAACAGAAATTTACTTGTCAATCTAAATTTTGTTTAAATGTGTTTTCCTCTGCATAATAAATTGGTTCTCTTTGAAGGGTTGGTGTTTTAGCTTTGAATTGTGCATCTTCCCATATTGAACAGCTATAACATAGACCCCAAAACACAATGGTTTAAACAAGAAAAGTAATAGTCCAGGGCTAAGTGGAGGACCAGCCTTACTAACCCCAGCACTAGGTTAACTTGTGAGTTTAATACAGCTGCTCAGGTCTCGTTTCTCATTTCACAGGGAGGAGGAGGGCAAAGGCCAGGGGAGCACACTGGCATGTCTTCCTCAACTTCCCTTCCCTTATTGCTCTTTCCCTTTTTTCCTCTCATTTGTTCTTTTCTTTTCTTCTTCTTTTTTTAAGTTTCAGGGGCCTTATCTGTTCTTCTGTTTCTGTCTTTCACACACACCCTCATATACCCATTCATATTCACCCCATTGGACTGAATTCAGTCCCATGGTCACACCAAGCTGCGAGGGAGACTAGGAAAGAGGTGTTTTTTTCTTTTTTCTGATGTTAAAAGAGAAAGGAGAAATACAGATTAGTAAACAACTAGTAATTTTTGCAGTGTATCATGTCTCTTGATAACCCCAGTTTTACATTTTAGTCTTACGAATTTTTCTGTAGTGTTAAATTTTCATTACTTATTTTTTATGTCTACCCCTAACTTAAAATAGTTTTTTATGTGGGATAATGTTAATATCATGTAATTTTAAAGTATATTTCAAAGTCATTGCATCTTGAATCATCTTGAATGGTTTATAAACAATTACAATGTTGTGTTTCCTAATAAAGTGAGATATTGTTTGTCTTCATGCTAAGGTATTCATTATTAATTATTTTGCATTTGGTGGATTTTTTTTTTTTTTTTTTTTAAAGACAGAATCTTGCTCTGTCACCCAGGCCAAAGTGTAGTGGCCTGATCACAGTTCTCTATAACTTTGAATTCCCAGGCTCAAGGGATTCTCCTGCCTTGGTTTTCTGAGTAGCTAGGACTATGGGCATGCATCACCGTGCCTGGCTAATTTGAAAACAATTTTTTGTAGAGACAGGGTCTCAGTAAATTACTTAGGCTAGTCTCAAACTTCTGGCTTCCAGTGATCCTCCTGCTGTGGCCTCCATGTTGGTGGGAGCCACCGCACCCAATCTGCATTTGGTGGATCCATATATTGCTCATAAAACTAATGTGACATGAAAATCATCAATGTGTACATTTTAAGCTGATTAAATTTAAATGTCTTCATTTGCATTTTTCTCTTTGGATAGGCTTTTTAAAAAAATATAAGAAAATATATCTACTTAGGTTTTAAATTTTGTGTCATATAATAGTAGTCTGTTATTTTTTGAGACAGAGTGTCTCACACTGTCTCCCAGGCTGGAATGTAGTGGTGGGTCATCAGTTAGTGCAACCTCCAAGTCCTGGACTCAAGCAATCCTGCCTCAGCCTCTGGAGGAGCTGGGATGCTACCATGCCTGGCTAATTTTTTTGCTTTTTTTGTAGAAATGGAGCCTTGCTGTGCTGCTCAATCTGGTCAACAGTAGTCTATTTATCTGTTTGAAAGCATGTTTCTGGGAGTTTGAGTTCTAAAACAGAGAAGCATTTTTTTCTCACCACTGTCTCTGGATTTGAAGTTCTAAAATCTTTGGGCAGGTTGGGCACAGTAGCTTGCAACTGTTGTCCAACTAGGGAGGCCTAGATGGGAGGATCACTTAAGGCCAGGAGTTCGAGACCAGTCTGGGCAAATAACAGGATTCCATTTCAACAAAAAGTAAATGCTGTGTGTTTAGCTGGCTTCTCTCTCGCTTCACTTTGCTTGCTATTACTTTTTTTTTTTTTTGAGACAGAGTCTCACTGTGTCACCCTGGGTAGAGTGCCGTGGCTCACAGCATCCTCAAACTCTTGGACTTAAGTGATTCTCTTGCCTCAGCCTTCCAAGTAGCTGGGACTACTGGTGCCTGCCACAATGGCTAGCTATTTCTTTTTGGTTGCAGTTGTCATTGTTGTTTAAGCAGGCCTGGGCTGGGCTCAAACCTGCCCACTTAGGTACATGTGGCTGGTGTCCTACTCACTGAGCTATGGGCGCTGAGCCGCTTACTGTTACATTGCTTGCTTCTTATTGTCCTTTTTACGTTAGTCACAACTGTGCTGTAATATCATTTGTGGATCTTTGTCATTCCAGGCATATTTTGTCTGTTTTCCCTAAAATAAGGAGAGGATTGAACAGTGTAAATGTATTCTTTTCCTTGTATTAGTGACATATTTTAATTAAGGTAATTTGTATTCGGGTAGTTCATATTGAGTATGTAGGCAGCAGTGCAAAGGGCCTTTTCCTATTACTTGCTAACTTAGTGTCTTCTCTTAAGTCTGTGTAATTTGAGTAGTTAAAGGGCATTGAAGGGCTGGGCATCCATAGCACAGTGGTTACAGTGCCGGCCACATACACAGAGGCTGGCGGGTTTGAACCAGGCTCAGGCCAGCTAAACAACAATGACACCTGCAACTAAAAATAGCCAGGTATAAAAGCAAGTACCTGTAGTCCGAACTACTTGGGATGCTGAGTTTAAGAGAATCGCTTAAGCCCAAGGGTTTGAGGTTGTTGTGAGCTATGATGCCACAGCACTCTACCAAGGGTGACTTAGTGAGACTCTCAAAAAAAAAAAAAAATAAAAATAAAGTGCATGGAAGGACTTTACATTTAACTCTTCAAAATTTTACCTATTTTAATTTTGCTTACGGTTTTAGCTTATTCATTTTTCTATCTTGATTTGACTTATAATTACTAATGTGTCTTGAAATTTACCATGTACTGCACTAAATACATTGCATTAATTTATAATAGCCGTTTCAGTCATTATTTAATTATATTTGTAAAATGTAAAACTAGGTAAGTTTAGTATAGTCCCTCCCATAATAATTGCATATTAAAGTATCTGAACGAGGCTCTGAATTTTTTTTGTGTTCGTGTGTGTTTAATTTTCTGTGATCATGTTTTTTTATTTAGGCGCAGCAGCTCTTATCAGCATGTTTAGAAAAGGTAGATATTTCTAGTACGGAGGGTTATGATTTGTTCATCACACAGCTCAAAGATGGTTTAAAAAATACATCGCATGAGACTGCAGCAAACCACAAAGTTGCTAAGGTAAGAAATTACAAATTACCTTGTTTGGAGTTAGAACTGAATGAATAAACATTTTTGTCCCTTCAGTTTTCTTTCTCTTTCCCTTTGGAAGTATTCTAATTCTAGATTTTTCTCCGTTTTGAAAAATAAAATGCTTATAAATCATCCCTAAATTGAAACTTTCATTGATGTTTACGTTCAGTTTGTGGGAACTACTGTGCTTTTATTGGGTTTCTAAGGCTTCTCTATCAATCTTTCTTGGTTCTTGATGCCCCTGTGTTGGTCAAGAGGCTAACGAAAGAGGCTTTCTTGTCAGGTTGTGAGCTTGGATGAGAATGGAATATGTCTTTAGAAATGTGATCATTTTGTGCTTTCTTTGAAATGACTTTTTTGACATGACTGGGAGAGGGTGCTTTGAATGAAAGCTTTTCATATATTTCGTCTGTATTGTTCTTTTATGATCTTGTCTAAATTATAAATGTAACAATATAGTACTTCCTTTTCTCAGTTTATATAATACTTCCTTACAGAAGGATATAAAGTACTCTGTAAGGAAGTAAAAGCCATTTTTCTAAAAGTAACTTGTACATTTACATAGATTTTTTTAAGCTTGAAATTACACTAAAATATTGTGATATACCTTGTCTTTTGTCACTTAAGAATTTATCTTGGGGGTGGAACCTGTGGCTCAGTGAGTAGGGCACCGGCCCCATATACCGAGGATGGCAGGTTCAAACCCAGCGCCGGCCAAACTGAAACAAAAAATAGCCAGGTATTGTGGTGGGTGCCTGTAGTCCCAGCTACTCAGGAAGCTGAGGCAAGAGAATTGCCTAAGCCCAAAAGCTGGAGATTGCTGTGAGCTGTGATGCCACAGCACTCTACCTAGGGTGATAAAGTTAGACTCTGTCTCTAAAAAAAGAAGAAAAAAAAAGGAGTTATCTTGGTTATCTTTTCATACCAATCCTCATCATTTGCATTCTTTTTTGTTTGTTTTTTGACACAGAATCTCACTTTGTTGCCCTTAATAGAGTGCCATGGCATCATAGGTCACCACAACTCCTAACTCTTGGGCTCAAACAATCATCTTTGTTTGTTTGTTTGTTTCGAGACAGACTCTCACTATGTCACCCTAGGTAGAGTGATGTGGCATCACAGCTCACAGCACCTCGACCTCTTGGACTTAAGTGATTCTCTTACCTCAGCCTCCCAAGTAGCTGGGACTACAGGTGCCCGCCACAACTCTTGGCTATTTTGCTTTTTTTTTTTTGAGACAGAGCCTCAAGCTGTCGCCCTGGGTAGAGAACCGTGGCATCACAGCTCACAGCAACCTCCGATTCTCCTGCCTCCACCTCCCAAGTAGCTGGGACCACAGGCGCCCGCCACAATGCCTGGCTGTTTTTTGGTTGCAGCCGTCATTGTTGTTTGGCGGGTCCGGGCTGGATTCAAACCCGCCAACTCAGGTGTATGTGGCTGGCGCCCCAGCTGGTTGAGCCATAGGCACTGAGCCGGCTATTTTTCTGTTGCAGTTGTCATTGTTTAGCTGGCCTGGGCTGGGTTCGAACCTGCCAGCCTCGGTGTATATGGCCGACACCGTAACCACTGTGCTATGGGAGCCAAGCCTCAAATGATCCTCTTGCCTCTGCCTCCCAAGTAGCTGGGACTACAGGCACCTGCCACAGCTCCTGGCTATTTTTTAGAGGCGGGATCTCACTCTTGTTCAGGCTGGTGTCAAACCTGTGAGCTCAGGCAATCTACCTGCCTCGGCCTTCCAGAGTGCTGGGATTTTCAGGCGTGAACCACCATACCTCGCCTGCATTCTCATTATTTACATCGAATTTTATTTTGTAGAGTTACTTTGATTTTATTAGTCCTTACTCTATTGATGAGCTATCTTATTTAGGGAAACAGAAACCATATTATGAATTTCTTTTTTTTTTTTTTTTTTTGAGACAGTCTCAGTACGTCACCCTTGGTAGGATGCTGTGGCATCACAGCTCACAGCTACCTCAAACTCTTGGGCTTAAGTGATTCTCTTGCCTCAGCCTCCTAAGAAGCTGTGACTACAGGCACCCTCCACAACGCCTGGCTATTTTTTTTGTTGTTGTTGTAGTTGTTACTGTTGTTTGGCAGGCCCGGGCCAGGTTTGAACCCACCTGCCCTGGTGGCCGATGCCCTCGCTGCTGAGCTACAGGTGCCAGGCCAGGTATGCAAACTTTGGAGGAGGAATGGCTGCCCTGCTGCTACCTCAGAAGCTTGAAGGAGTTTCCTATGGACCTGGGACTCAGATCTCTGAAGAGAGGTGCTAGTTGGATGTTGTTACACCTCTAAGGGAATTCTGTGAAAATGGACTGGGAAGACTGAAAAACAGTACTGGAAGAGTTAACTGCTGCTGCCAGGTTCTGTGATGAAACAGTGCTGACAGCAATGAAGCTTCTATTGGCAGAACCTAACAACCACGAAGCTGGTCAGCATAAAGAGAAAATGGGGTTTGTGATTCCCAGCCCCAAAGTGACGCAGCACAGAATTAAAGCACAGGTTTGAGCTGAGAGACAATAGTTAAATAACTGGCATGGTTTATCCCTTTGGTTACTCAGCATCTCCGTATATACTTTCTGTATGCACGTCTGTGAACTTTCATGCAACAAAAACCTTACACTTAATAAGATGCACTGGTCCTTTTTACAAACGAAGATTTTCTTTCCTGTTTCCTAGAAAAGGGAGATACAAAATTTCAACAGGTATTTTTTTTTAAAAAACCCAAAAAAAAAATAAAAAAAAAAACTTCTAAAATTTAGTCTAGTCCCATTGTTTAAGTACCAGAACTGTGCTACTGGAAGACTAAATGAATAACAATCAAAAATTCTTATTTAAAATAAGTCTCTAACTGTATGTTTGTGTCCATCTAAATCAACATCTATCCATCTATCTATTTTTTATCTAATTTGAAGAAAATATGCCGAGCAGCTGTAGTCCTCAATTCTGTTAATGGTCAGGAGGATACATTTGCTGTCTTTAATGTCTATTTTCTGCTACTGATTCCATATTCCCTTTGTCTTCAGCTAGCACCTCAGCTGGCCAGAAGTTTTTACATGGTGGAGTAGTCCAGTGCTTCATACTTGAAGTATTTGAATTCTCAGGGGTACTGTGTTTTTTTAGTTATAATTATCCATTCACTTTTACTGTTGGATATGGAAGTCCTGACAGGTACCCTGTAGACTCTCCTGGGTTCTGCATAAGCTCTCCGTGCTCCTGTTATTCAACAGTACTGTAGTTTGTCAGTTTCAATCAGACCAACCAGCAGAATAACCTACTTTCTTGCCTCTTCATTCAGTGGTAAGAGGAACCCAGAATTGAGTAGCAGTGTCAACACCCTGTTGAATGGAAGCAGTGTTGTACCCCTCCTGGAACATTCTTCCCTTGGGAAGTAAGACCTATAGAGGTTAAAGCTTAATAAAAAATCTGTGAATGGGTTTTTAAGTATAATAGTGACCATGCTGAGAGATACTCTTACGATGCATCTTTCATTGATTCAAAGCACACTCTTTATTCTGTAAGGTAGAATTCTAACCTTTCAGAGTGCCTCTACCAATTAGTGTTGAAAATGAATTTTTAGTAGGCCATTGAACTCTTCTGTCGGGCAGCTCCCTCCAGATGATGCCTGTAAGACCAGTGAATTTCATAGGCAAGAGCCCATTGTTGCATCCTGCTTTGCTTTAAAATTCTTTCCTCGCTCAGAAGCAAAGTTGTCTGAAATAACCATGATGGTGCATAAGATGCATTTTGTTAGTCCACATGCAGTGACAGAAACCTTGTGGGCAGAACAGGTAAACACATACCTGGAATACATATCTGTTACAGTGAAGAACAAAATTGCTGTCCAGTGTATGGCTAATCGATATAATCAATGTGCCATTGGATAGCTGGGTTATTCCCCTGGGAAGTAGGGTCATATTGGTGGCCTACCTTTGCTAACAGCTGTTGGCATATTAGGCCATCAGCAACAGCTGTAGCCTGGTTATTCTGGGTGAGGGAAGTTTGTGGTATTGTTGGACTATCTTTTGCCTTGGCATTTTGCATACAGGTCCATTGAGCAAACCCTGGAGTGGCTAAGGAGAGAGGCTGGCTGACATGTGTAAAATTTGTCCATTTCCTCTGCAGTGGGTGCCTTTGGTGATAGTTCTCATATTGTACAAATAATTTCACATAATACTTATTTTGAGAGTTCTGTCCATATCTTTTACCCTTGACCTTTCTTATTAGCAATTTCCAATCCTGATTTTTCCGAGTGCCTGATTTCCAATCCTGATTTTTACCCTTTTACCCTTGACCTTTCTTGTTAGCAATTTCTAATCCTGATTTTTCCAAGTCCCATCCAGCCAACAAAGTAGAACTGTCCATTTATCAGTGAGGATCTTAATTCCTGGCCAGCTCTCAGTCCAGATAAAGAAAATAGTCAAATACAGTGATTGAAGTTCTGCCCACTGAAATTTTCCTTCACCACTATACTTCTGATTAGGGGCTGTAATTGTATAGCAGTTTACTTTAAAATGGCACCAGCGTATCACCCAGGGCCAAGAGTATTTTCTCCTCAAATTATCACATTATAAGGAGTTATGTATGGAACTGCTGATAGGGAATGAGGAGGAGGCATTGTAAATGGGAGCGGCTATTGTATAAGTCTGAGCCACTTCTTATTCAGCTTGTGCCTTTTGGACTTTGTCCGATTTATGGCTGTAAGACATTTAATGAAAGGTACTTGTTGTTTGTGCTAAATATTGTCATGTAATACCTACTTTGTGATGGACAACTCTGATTGTATGGACCTTAAGTGTCACAGATAGGTATTAGCCTCTTATCTGGGACCAGTAAGAGGCCAGGAGCTGTCTTTCAAAAGGGGAACAGTTAATTGCCTGAAAGGGCTTGCCTGTGCTCCAAGACCCTAGCATTCTTCTGTGTGAGTGTCCCAATTAGGTCGCTGCAGACTCCTGCAGAATTGTTATTTTCCACGGACTCTTCTCACATCAGTGTTGTCCGGTCTGCCCTCAAGTAAAAAGTTTTAGGCAGAGCATCATGCAGCACCGTCTGGACCTGTCGCAGAGCTGCTTCTTGTTCAGTACTTAAAATTGGCCCCTTTATGTACTTCTTGATAATTGGATTGCAGCAGCATGTTCAAATATGCTGAACATTGGTTGCAAGATTCGAATAGGCCCACCAAGCATTGTGCTTTCTCCTCAATGCTTGATTTAAGTTGTAGCAACCTGTTCACCTTGGAGGTATATCCTGACATGACTAGATCACTGGACCGCCAGAAACTTCACTGAGTTTGGAGGATCCTGAATGTTTTGGGGGACTGTTGATCTCCTCTGGCTTGCATCTTACTAGGGCATTTAAGTTCCTTGCTATTTTTTCCTCTCTGGGCCAGTCAGCATGATGTTATTGAGGTAGTAGACCAATATGGTGAAATGTATATGATAGGATGGTCAGGATTTCTGTATACCACTATAGATGATGGTGAAGAATGTGAGGTACAGTCCAAGGGTAAGATTTTAAGATTTATTGTTGGTCCTACCAGGTAAAAGTGGATGTTTTAGATAGTCCTTAAAAATTAGTGTAGAACAATACTTGACAGAACTGTAAATGCCTAGCAGATAGCAGGAGATTTGTTGGTTTGCTTCAGTAAAGATACCTCGTGTTGAATAGCAGCTGCAGTTGAAGTCCCCGCCTGATAGCTTACCATGCACTTTTTTTTTTTTTTTTTTTTGAGACAGAATCTCACTTTGTCACCCTGTAGAGGGCCATGGCATCATAGCTCCCAGCAACCTCAAACTCCTAGGCTCAAAGTGATTCTCTTGCCTCACCTTCCCTGGTAGTTGGGACTGCAGGCCCCCTCCCTAGTGCCCAGCTGTTTTTTAGAGATGGAGTCTCGCTCCTGCTCTGGCTGATCTGGAACCCATAAGCTTAGGCAATCCAGAGTGCTAGGATTTACAGGCGTGAGCCACCACCTTCGGCCCACAGTCATTCTTCAGGATCCCTTTACATTCTGCATAGATGACACAGGACAGTTAATGGGCATGAGATTATTTGTTTACTTCTTTATTCTTTCAAATCTCTTATAGTGGCGTTAATCTTAGAAATTTGCTCAGGAATGTGGTACTGCTTTGGTTTAATATCCTCATAGAGAAGGAAAGTTCTAGGGGACATCTACTTGGTCTGTCCTCAGAGAGGAACAGAGCTATTGTGGGGATTTTTCCAGTTTCATATTTTGTATCTCTTTGGATTATGCATTTAAGAGCGAGGGAAATTACTACAATATGGGTTTGTGGACCCCCAGAGCTCCCTAAGATAGCTTTTGTGCCCAAACTCCATTAATCACTTAATCATCCTAAGCTCCACTTTGACTGGTGGGACACAGTGGTATTGTAGGAGTTCAGTTCCATGCCAGTTTTGGAAATAACTTGAACAATCTTTTCATTGAACTGAAAGCCGCCCCCCCGCCCCGTCCCTTTGGGGGAAGGTTTTTAGTATGATGTATACAGTATGTATGTACAGAGGGTATTTTGTGGAGGGTATTTTCCCTTTTGATGAAAAGCTCTATGTCTATGAAAAAATTAGGTGAGAAGTTTTCATTTTGTCTTTTTTTTAGCAGTTCTTATTTTTCAGTTGAGTTTTTTAAGTTACATGAATAAGTAATAACAAAAGTCTGCCTAGAGTGTACTAGATTCTTTTTTTTTTTTTGAGACAGAGCCTCAAGCTGTCCCCCTGGGTAGAGTGCCGTGGCATTACAGTCACAGCAACCTCCAACTCCTGGGCTCAAGCGAGTCTCTTGCCTCCGCCTCCCAAGTAGCTGGGACCACAGGCGCCCGCCACAACGCCCGGCTATTTTTTGGTTGCAGCCGTCATTGTTGTTTGGCGGGTCCAGGCTGGGGATTCGAACCCACCACCTTAGGTGTACGTGGCTGACGCCTTAGCCGGTTGAGCTATAGGCGCCGAGCCAGAGTGTACTAGATTCAATGGAAGCATTCACAGTGAACTGGGAAGAGGATATAAAGATGAAATTATATTATGGACATTTCTTTGGGAGAATAATACTTAGCATTTTTGCAGTATAATAACTTAAGTAGTTTTTGTACTGTTTTGTAGTTTTGTTATGTTAAAGCATGATTAGCATTTATTGAATATTGAAACTGGTTACAGAAACAAGGCAGGCCTATGTTTTCAGTTACTTACTACTGGACAGTTGTCACATCCCACTCCTACCACCGCTTGTCGGGACCCTGGGACTGGCCAGGTCTCGGGCCCGGCTTAACTAGGTTCTGGACATGGACTGCCAAGTTACCTTGCTCAGGTCTCTTAGGTGCTTGAGGGCTGTCTACTTTAGCTGGAGAGAGAGAGTCTTAGAGAGAGTAAAGCAGTCTTCTTAGAATAGATAGACCTTAGTCTTTGGCAGAGCTTGGTAATCTTCAGCAGAGAGACACTGTGCTGGTGTTCTGCAGGCAGGAGAGGAGACAGAGCCAGAGTGAGCCGGTATGTGATAGAATGTGCATGCTGCTGACTACCTTCTCCTGCAGCCTCCCAACACCACAGGTGTAGAGACTGCCAATGCATCACTGCTCTCATCTCATGAGCTCTCATGCTTGTTGACCCCATTTTCATAGACTGAGGCATCACATGTACTCCATGGAAGTTCCTTATGTTGATCACTTCTGTATGTTGGCTAGCTTGTTACAGTTCCTTGGATGGTCAAATTAAAAAGGTTTTACTGTGTAAACATTTGCTAAGCTGAACTGAATCCTCATGTAGGTAGTACGCCAGTGATGATAATTGTCCAAATATGTTCTTGTGGGTGGAGACGTTTGTGGTGTCTTTCTTTGTGCTTAAATGTGTATATGCTGGATGAATACGAACAAAGACATGATTTTAGTTGTACTTAGTTTGTGGTGAGCTATGTAAGTAGATGTGTCACCATCTGGTTCTAATCTGTCTTCAGGTTAGTTGAGGTTTCATTTTTTTTTTTTTTTTGAGACAGAGCCTCAAGCTGTCACCCTGGGCACAGTGCTGTGGCATCACAGCTCACAGCAACCTCCAACTCCTGGGCTCAAGTGAGTCTCCTGCCTCTGCCTCCTAAGTAGCTGGGACTACAGGTGCCTGCCACAACGCCTGGCTTTTTTTTGGTGGTCACCATCATTGTTATTTGGCGGGCCCAGGCTGGATTTGAACCCACCACCTTAGGTGTATGTGGCTGGCACCTTAGCAGTTTGAGCCGCAGATGCCGAGCCTGAGGTTTCATTTTAAAAAATTAAATTTTAATTGACAAATGATTATATATTTATGGGGTACAATGTGGTGTTATATATATAGATAGAGATATATACACATACACTGGAAAGATTAAATCAAGCTAATTAACGTATCTATGGACTTACTTTATTTCTCTAGGGTGAGAATATTTACAATCTACTCATGGTAATTGTGAAATGTACATTAACTGTGGTCATAGTGCTGTATAATAGGTCACTAAGACTAAAATAGACAACTAAAACTATCTCTCTTGTCAGTTGAAACTTTGTACCCTTGACCAACATCTCCCTATTCCCCGTCTACTACTTAACCCCCTGCTAATTACCATTGTACTTTCTGCTTTTCTATGAGTTTAACTTTTTTGGATTCCACATATAAAATAGGATCATGCAATTTTTGTCTTTCTCTGTCTGGCTTATTTCACTTAGCATAATATCCTTCAGGTTCATCTGTGACTTTGCCAATGACAGAATTTCCCATTTAAAGGCTGTCTAGTATCCATTGTGTATAAATACTGCATTTTCTTTATCTATTCACGATTGATAGATACTTAGGTTGTTTCCACATTTTGGTTCCTGTGAATAAGAGACTTCATTTTTACATAGCTCCATGTTCCTGCTTTATTTTATTTTTTTCCTCATCCTAGAGTCCAATAGCAGCACATT